AGTGGGAAAACACTCCCTGGGTCCCAAGGAATGGCTCCCTCCAGCGTGGTCATGTCCCATGGCTGGTGCTCAGGGACTCTGGGCAGGGGAGAGGGTCCATCCCTTGTCTGGTGTCCCCGAGTTACCCACCCCACCCCAGGCACCTCTCCTCGGAATTTGCCCATACCCAGGGGATGCAGGGATGGAGAGGATGGGCAGGAGGGTAAGGGGCCGAATACAAATCCCACAGGAGAGGACATCAAGTCAGGAAGAGCTCATGGAGACTCACCCAGTTCTGCATTTCGTTGCTCTGGAAAGGAAAAATTGAAGCAATGAGTGATGAGAGAGGAGATCTTCTCAACACACACCTGCAACTACAACAGTGGGCAGAGGCAAAACTCCTCCTTTTAAGAGTGGGAGAACAGCCCCCCAAACCCTTTGAATGGCTCCCTCCAACCTGGGCAAGTCCCACAAACTCTCCCCAGAAACTCTGGTGAGGGAAGAGGGACCATCTCTGCTCTGGTGTCCCTGAGTTGTCCATCCTCCCAGGCACCTCCCCTCAGGGTTTGCCCAGCAGACCCAGGGGCTGCAGGGATGGAGGGGAGGGGCAGGAGGGAAAGGGGCCGAGCCCAGAGCACCCGGGATACAACACTGAGCCAGGGGAGCTCACAGAGACTCACTCAGTTCTCCATCTTGTTTCCCTGAAAAGTGAAAAACAAAATCAATGACTGATCAGAGAGGACAGCTTCTCCCCCCACGGCATGAACAGGCAGAGCTCAGGCTGAGCCCAAACTCCTTCTCTTTGGAGAATGGGAACAGACCCCCAAAGCTTGTGAATGCCTCCCTTCAGCCTGGTCATGTCCCATGGCTGGTCCCCAAGGACTCTGGCCAGGGGAGAGGGTCCAGCTTGGTATGGTGTCCCCAAGCTGCCCACCCCACCAGGCACATCCCCTCGTTGTTTACCCAGACCCAGGGAATGCAGGGGTGGAGAGGACGGGCAAGGTGGGAAAGGGTAAGCATAGAGGGCCAGGAGGAGAACATGGAGCCCGGAGGAGCTCACAGAGACTCACCCAAGAGTGCAGCTTGTTCCTCTGGAAAGCAAAAGCGATATTTGGTCAGAGAGGACAGCTTCTAATCACAAAAGTACTCAAGAAGGAGTAAGCAGAGATGGGGAAACCCCAAACTCCTCCTTTCTTGGGGAGTGGGAAAACACTCCCTGGGTCCCTAGGATGGCTTCCTCCAGCCTGATCAATTCCCACAAACTCTCCCCAGAGACTCTGGAGAGGGCAGAGTGTCCATCTCTACTCTGGTGTCACCAAGCCACCCACCCCCCAAGGCACCTGCCCCTGAGTTTTCCATGGACCCAGGGGATGCAGGGATGGAGAGGACAGGCAAGGGGGGAAGTGGCCGAGCCCAGAGCACCCAAGAGAGGACACTGAGCCAGAAGGAGCTCAAGGAGACTCACCCAGTTCTGCATCTCGTTTTGCTGGAAAACAAACAACAAAATCAATGAGTGATGAGAGGGGACAGCTTCTCACCCCATGGTGTGAGCAGGCAGAGTACGGGCTGAGCCCAAATTCCTTCTCTTTGGGAAATGGGAAAAGGCCCCTTGGCTCACAGCAGGGGATCCTGCCCTCCGATCCCCACCCCAGACCATCCACGCACTCTGCAGTTACGCCTGACTTCAGCAGAGATTTAAGGTTCAGCCTGATTTAAGCTCAGTCAGTACTGGTCCCTGCTTCTTCCCATGACCCAGGACACCTCCTGGGCTCAGTTCCCAACCCCAGGGCTCTCTAGGTCCCTTCTGGGCTCCAGCAACACACATCAATGACCAGAGAAACAGCAAGAAACATGCAAATCCACATCCCTCCCAGAGGGAGGCTTTGCTGGTGGCAGGGGCCAGAAGGACTCACCCAGTGCTCTGGACTGCACCACTGGAAAGCAAAGGCAGAGGAAGAGAAGGTCAGGAGAGCAGCTGCTTCATCCCTGGCACCATCTCCCCAGGGTCTCTTGGACCTTCCCACGTGACAGATGCTCTGCCCATGCTCCCTCTCCTGCCACCCACAACCCGTGTCCTTCTCCCCATCCTTCCTTTGCCCAAAGAGCTTCCATAATGAAGGCAAAACATCGTGGTGATGCAAACTCACCTTTCCTTCGGAAGAAGTAAGCACTGAGGGTAGTTGACACCACAGAAAGCAGGAGGAAGACACCCAGAGCTGCCATCCAGGGACGAGCATTGTGGAAAAAGGGAGCTGAGAAACAAAAAAACATGAGGAAAAGGCCTCATTTACACCCCCCTTTCCTTCCTGCACTCCCGGCATGTTTATCCTGCCTCCGGAGAACAAAACCCCCTAAAGCAGCAGGGCCAACCCCAGCCCTGCTGCCATCCTGTACCTGAGATGTGCAGGGACGACGCCTGCTCCTGCTCCAGGCGGCTGTTCCTCACCACGCACGACACGTTCCTGTCTGCCTTCCCTCTCACAATGACGACATCTTGGATCTCAAAGAGGCCCCTCTCATCGCGGGAACGTCTCTGGGAGACTGAGGGGAGATGCTGCCCGCTGGCATCCTTCCACAGCACCTCTGGTGATGGGTACCAGCCGGCCGATCGACACACCACCCGGATGCCTCCATCCTCGTAAGCCTCCAGAGAGAGGAGAGGGACAGAGCCCATGGCTGGGGGAAGAGCCCAGGAGAGTCCTGAGTTAGGGATGGTCTCAGCTTAAAGGCCAAGACTGAACCCCACGCCAGACACATCCCAGGGTGCCCAGGGGGCTGTGGGTACGGCCATGTGCTCCTCACACCACCAAACCCACCCCAACATCTGCAGGAACCAGAGAGCACTGATGCCAAATGACACCAAAAGTCCCATAAAACAGCCTGGCAGAGAAGCACCAAGTGGCCGATCATAGTGACTCAAGGCAGCATCTCTGCATCAACACAAACCTCTTGAGGACACCATAAAGGCCCAAAGCCAACGCGTCCATTCCGCTCTGCCCCCAAAAACACCTCCAACACCATGTGCATGCTACCTCCTGGGCAGGCACCGATGAGAAGAGCCTTCTCACACTGGACCTCTCTCAATGGCTCCTAGCATTTGGCACTGAATAGATGGACGTGAGGATGGGACAGAGCTCTGGAAGGGGCACACCAACCCAGGGACACCTGGAACATCCCCACGAAACACCACAGCAGCCACAAACCTGCCACCTCCAGCTTCACTGTATCTTCTCCATAAGAAGCACCATCTTGCACAGTGCAGACGTACAGGCCATCATCAGAGGGTCTCAACACAGAGATTCGCAAGTCCAGGCTCCCACTGGAGAGACCATTTCTGGCCAATGCTGTCCTTCCAATGTATTCCTCCATCTGCTCCCAGTGCTGGTCCTCTCCGTTTTGGTAGAGGTGCACCGTTTCAGAGAGCTGGTGCCGGATCCACCTGATCTCCAAGCTCCGAGCGTCCACACGTGGAGACAAGTGACATGGCAGCACGACATCCTGCCCCACAGCGGCAAGAAGAGATCGGCTTGGCCCCACCACTCTGAACTCCGCTGGATGATG